CTGCTGCTGCTGCTGCTGCTGATGCTGTGCTTGGCGAGTGTGAATCCGCACTCCAGCCAGCGTTCACGTGGAGGGTGACTTTCTTGGAATCTAATTTTGTAGGAAATTGACGATCCCACATATTTTCATCCAAAAATCTCTTGTTTTGCTGCGTTAGCGGCTCGCTCTGTCAGGTTCGGACGCGGGGGGATCGACGCCTGGCAGCCCATTCGAAAATTGCGGGCATGTGGGCACTGTATCTCTCTGGCTGTTGGGTGGGCAGGGAGGGTGGTTGTTGAGCCCAGCAGCCTGTCAGCCTGTCTCGACGCACTGCGGGCCAACGCAATCCAAGCCTGCTTGCTTGTCAACGGTGCCTTGCTACCCACCATCCCACCTACCGCGCCCCCTGCCCATCTCCATCTCCCGTGGCCTGCGTCATCCGCCCTTCAGCACCCCTCCGACTGCGATAGCGCGTGCCTCGGCCTGGGCGTTTCGGCAGGTTTGGCCTTGGCTGTCACACGAGCAACGCTTTGCAGCTGTTAGGAACTCGTACTATCTCCCGTCGCCGCTCATCGCCACAGATCTCATACGCCTCTCTGCCATCTCTATTCGGCTCTGCTCAGTTCGCTCACCATGGACGACACAAACGAGTTCCCCATGCAGGACCCGGGCACGCACCTCACCCTCGAGCTGCGCGGGACGCGCTTCGTCATCGAGCGCGAGACCATGATGAACTTACCCGAATCGGTCCTGCTCTGCCTCTTCCCCAACGGACTCATCTTGACACGCCAGCCCCGTGTCCCCTCGATGCTCGATCAGGATGGTGAGGAGGACGAGGAGGAGCTCTATCTCGTCGACTTTGATCCGCAGTGTCTCTCGTACGTGCTCAGCTTCTTCAAAACTGCCCAGGACGAATTCTACGGCACCGCAGACCATCCCGGCAAGTACCGTCCCAGCTCGGCTTACGGTACTGCGCTCTACAACTATGCAATGGCGTCCAACGAGGGCGCCGACGCCTTCACCCAGGGCAGCATCTCCCAGATCCCGCTGATGAACAAGCAGCCCATCATCGTGCTGCGCGAGGAACTCGAGTACTTTGCCATCCCTCCCAAGAAGGCGGCTGCGGCGGGACAAGCGGCAGCATCCGAGATCGATCCGGAAGTGTTCGAAGGCACCGAGCCTTCGACCGGACACCCTACGCCTGCACTGCTGCGGCTCAAGTACAGCTGCGGAGATGCGTTGCTCGACCGCAAGCAAATCTTCACAGCGCTGCAGAGGAATGTCAACAAGGAGAACAACCTGGCGGAGCAGCATCTGATCGACATGCTCTGCATGAGCGGATTCGACCGCGAAGACACCTGGGGCTTCCGTGCGCTCGAACCGAATCGCTGCTGCATCACCTCGATCGCGCTCGTCCTGCTCAAGACGGGCATCACGCACGCGGGCGAGCTCGAGGCCGAAGGACTCAATCCAGAGGCGATGGCCTCGGGCGAGTACCATGATCCCACCGGACGTACGAGCATGCTGTCCAATTTGAAGGTGGACCACCAGCAGTTTGCGACCGCGCAAAAGTTGCTTCTCTTCTGGCGCAAACCGGCGAGAAAGTGCTGGTGGGACGGCATCGACATTGTGCTGCCCGCCTCCGACAAGGATTCGCCCGCGCAAGCCGACCACGCCGCGCAGACGCAAGAACTCAACGATGCCGGCCTCACCGCCAACGAGGCCGAGCTGCTCAAGTCGGGCAAGGGAAGAAAGGTGCGCGTCTGGGCGCGCAGAGTGTGGACGCTCGAGCTCAGCCTCATTTGACGCGCTCAAGCTTCGACCCGGCCCTTCCTTTCACCCTGCATTCGCATTCTTCGGCACTCTCAGCCAGCTGCGATTCTCTCGCGAGGCAACACTGCCAGCTTCACGCTCTATACCCCTGCCTCGGGCTCGCTCGGCGTCCTTCCATGTGCTTATCCATCCCCCCATCGACGCATTCTTCCATCGACGAAATCTACGGACACTTGTCATACCTTTCTTTCTCGAAGCAAGCGTGAGAACGACAGGCTCCTGCAGATCTGAATTGCTGGATGAGAGCGTTGTGCGCGTGTGTTGGTCACTTGTCGTTGCGGTGACGAATGCTGATTTCGAAGCCTCATATCAGCGCGTGAGGTGGAGCCTCGAAATTTGATTCGCACGAGACTGGTGACGAGCCAGCTCACGTGACGCGACCTTTTTTCGGAGGGCGAGAAGGCTCGGAAGAATTGGACTGCCTGCCACGGCCAAAGCGTTTCTGCATCGGACTGCTGATCCTACGGCCACCATCTTAATCCTGCTCGCATCTTCTCGACCGATCTCACCAGAGACTTCTCGCGCTGTACTCATACACGATGGCATCCAGATCCATGGGTGCCCTGAGACAGCTCGGTGCAGCTGTCTCGTCAGCGTCCCGCACCTCCACTCGTCCTATGGCTGCTCCCATTGCCAGGGCATTCTCGTAAGCGTCTGCGCACAAACTTGCTCTTCAGTCGAGCCTCGATGGACGATCCAGCAATTGCGAATAGCTCGCATGGATCGCAGAATGCTGACTCTTTCGCCCCTCCATTTCTCACAGCACATCGTCCGGTCTTTGGAACCAGTCCACGTCGTCATCTGTGACACTGGACCACCTGCAGAAACAATCCGAAACACTCGCACAAAGCAGCGCCAACGCATCATCGGACGTTGCCCCCGCAAAGGATGAAGAGCAGTTTGTGATTCCGGAGTGCCTGCAGCCAACCGAGTCGCACGCACCGACACACGGTGTGCACGTTGCGACGCTGCACCTGCGTTCGTACGCCGACGGTGTTCCGAACCTGGACCTGTTCGCCGACTTTGCGCGCAAGGCAGCATACGCGATCGGCATCCCTGTGAGCGGCGTGGCGCATCTGCCTACACGCACATCGCTGTGGACCGTGCCGAGGTCGCCGTTCGTGCACAAAAAGTCGCAGGAGAACTTTTGGCGAAAGACGCACTCGCGCAGCATCAAGGTGTTCGATGCCAACGACCAGGTGGTTGACCGATGGCTGCATTTCTTGCGCATCCATGCGCTGCCAGGTGTCGGACAGAAGGCCGATCTCTTCCGCTACCACGAACTTGGCGTGGGCGACAAGCTGATGGACGAGGCAAAGGCGCTGCAGCGCTCCGGATCGCCCGACGCTGCCGACTCGAGCTCAAAGCCGCAGACCGAGTCCAACCAGGCCACCTCAACCGCCGAGAGCATCAAGAAGATCGCGGATGGCATTGTCGAGCAGGAGATGGCACGGGAGGAGCAGAAGTGATCTTGCACCACTGGGTCAGCACCGCTGACAGCCCCACAGGGTCTGTACAAGCAACCTCTGGCACCAAAGGCCGAATGGCGAATGCCGCGTGGATGGGATAGCGACAGAGGCCTGCCTAGCGGGATTCATCGGCTGTTTGGCTCCTAATGTGCTGAAGCGGTGGAGACTTGAATGGCGCGAGCAGAATAGTTGGGTCATACGCTGTCCAGCGGAAACCGATGCAATGTCTGCGACAGGCGTATCGCCTGTTTGCACAGCTCTTCGAGACCTGGGCATAGCCTCTTCATGGACGAGTGGGACGCTGTGCCGAGTGCTGTGGGTGAGTTGAAGGTGCACATTACAGAGGCGTCGGTCCTGATTGTTAGGTACGTCCGGTGCCGTGATGCCGTCCGTTGTGAAGCACTGCATAGCAGCAACCCACATATGGATGCGGGAACAATACACACACACTCTGTATAACCTCACAGACCGTTGAGCTGCTGGAGCTATGATATGGCGAGGCGAGTGCACGGACATGTGGATGTGCGCATCGGAACTTTTGGTTTCCTGCATACAAGAAGAGGGCCGTCCACGCAGGGATCGTCACCGGCAAAAGTGAGTCGGCCGTGGCCGTACAGTTTCATTTGGCGTATCGCAGCCGATGTCAAACAACGCCCGCAAGCCACTGTCTGCACTTCAACGTAGGTGGGTATCTATCCCTGCTCAGGTGAGTGCCAACTCGTTGTGACGATGGTGTCGACGGTCCGTACGCATGAATGCCAAACGTCGCGCGGTCTTAGCGCTCCCCGCTAGCACCCGCTAGCGGCCAAGCGAGCCCAGTTGGCGGCGCGTTTGGTTGGCGCACAGTGGAGGAGGGGCGGCGGATTTATTTTTTGAGGCTGCAGGGCGGATGAACGTGTGCTGTCGAGCGCGGTGTGCGCGTGTGCCGTGGCGAAGTGTTGGTCTCCGATCTGTCAGTCGGGCGCACGCATGATGAGAGCCCCCCCACGCACAATATCACACTTCACCCTACAGCAAGTCACAAGTCGCAGGGAGGTGGACATGACTGAGCGCCGTCGCATTTTTCGAGATCCCCTGCGCTGACCGGATCGCTTCCCGTCTGTCAACCACTCCCAACCGCACCACCACCGACGCGACCATCACCTCCTCCCCACCAACCTACGCAGCCTCGTTGTCGGCTGAGCGGTGGCACTCCTGACCCTAGACACTGGACTTATCCGCATGGGATGCACATGGCTCACCCACGCCGCGGCCAGCCGCAACCTGTGACATCGACATGCAGTCGGCTCCCTCAGGCTCGCGACACAGCCTCGGCTTGGGCGGTCCTTCAGACCTAACCGCCAAACGCAAATCGCTCCATCGTACATCGTCGCAGCCACGAAAACCGCCCACACGCATCGTCGTTGCCGAAGGAGGAAGCGAATTCGTTCTCGAGACTCCACCCCGTCGACCTTCCGCTTCGACCTCGAGCCAAGCGGTAACCAGAACTGGCACTGCCAGTGAACAGCTCCTCGCCACATCGGCTCCCCATGCTCCAGCTCGGACGCAGTCCTCGGCCGCTCCTCGCACCCTCTCGACCTCCCTGACGCCGCCTAGAACCAAACCGATAGATCGACCCTACCGCCCCCCACCCTCCAGCAGCGCACGCTTCTACGAGCGACAGCAGCAGCTATGGCAGCTACAGCACGCTGCGCCAGGAGAGCCTTCCAATCAGCTGTACATGCCTTCCAGCTCGTACCTGCCATCCATTCCCGGTGTCAGGCACTCACCGACGGAGCCAGCCATCTCCTCCGATCCGCTGTCGCCGCACCTCCTCCAACCCGGCCCATCGAACCAGCATCATGCGAGGTACACTGAGAGCGTCCCGCATTCGAACCAAGCATGGTCTGCAGCAGCTAGCTCCATCTCTTCTCGGACGAGGTCTTCGAGTATCGGCGGCATCAGCGCATCGGACGACGGCATTCACCAGACGCGTGCCCGTGCTGGAAGCGATGCGAGCAGCTTCACAAGAAGCCGCATCACAAATGGCTACATGTCTCAGACAGACGAGGAATCCCACGACGAACCAACTCTTCGCACCGGCCCGACTCACTCTTTTCTCGATGCCCCGTCCACGCGAACGGAACCACCCTCCAGGCGCGTACCGCTCGCTGTTGCTCCGACGTTGAGCGACCTGGATGATACCAACGACGTCGACTGGGATACAGAACTTGGCATCTCCGCTGACAGTCCCACGGATCCTCTGCGCTTGCCGCTTCCGCCCTTGTCCCATCGCCTCGCGCATGCACCTGCCGATGTCGATACGCACACCCCTGCGCACGACCACGAGTCTGTGAACAGCCAGATCGTCGTCAGCAGCGTCGCTGCTCCAATGGCATCCGACTCGTCCCTCATGAGCCCGCTTTCGGTCGATCTCAAGGGCATTCGAGTCACTTCGAACGTTAGCGAGAATTGGGACGACGACTTTCTCTTTCAGAATGACGAGGATCCCGCTGAAGATGCAACCACGCGGGATACCATTCGCTCAAGCGCAGATGCAGCTCACGTCTCAACGTCGTCTGGCGCACGAGACAAGCCTGCGCTTCATCGAGTCACCCCAGATCACCCAGACTCCGATGATGACGAAGATGTCGAGAATTGGGACGATGCCTTCGCTTGGAATGCAGAGCCATCCCTCACTCCCTCTCCCTCCAACTCTTCGTCTATTGCGAATTTGCGGCATTATCCAGCGCTGGCGTTGGCGCTACCCGGCACAAATAGCCAGATTCTCCGCGGGAATGCAACCTCGTCATCCAAGCCACCGACAAAGGGATCGGCAAAACCGCAAAAGCGATGGTCAGACTCATCGTCAGCCAGTGATGTCACCAATCTCTCGTTGCGTCTCGCAGCGCAGTCCGACGTCGATTCTTTCGACTCGCGCGCTTCGTGCGACAGCGGTCACCGTCACGCCTCAGCATCGCATCCCAAGGCCACTCGACCGAGCGCTCTGAAATTAGCCAGCACTCCTCGCTCGGCAAACCTTGACTTGAATCATGGTAGTGATGCCAGCGGCGACGATACCGAGACAGAGACGCCGTCCAGAGACTTGGATTCCAGCCTCGTTTCTCTAGTCTCCCGGCAGAGCCGACCCGCAAGGCGATCGCTCGGCGCAGCACTTGGCTTCAAGACCCAGGTTCGACCGCCAACGCGAGAGGCTGATGTCAAGTCGCCAATAACACCTCATACGGCCGGCAAGGACAGCATCGATTCCACTGCGATTAAAGCGCACAGGCGAACGTCTTCTCGGCCCAAGCTTGGTGCTCTGCAGCGCTTGAGTCTGTCCCGCTCTCGCGTCAGCGTCGCAGACACTTCCAATGCCAGCATCGATGACATTTCTTTGGCAATCCAGCCTGCACAGCACATGTACATGGACGCGGCAAACCTCAGCCAGGCATCTTTGATCAGCCAGAAGTCCGCATCGTCAGCTCGATCATCGCGATCGGCCAGCGTTTCAAGTCTAGCAAAGAGCTACGCCGCGATGCGATCCTCGAGTTTCCGACGTCTGCTCGGTCGCGGCACTCCGAACAAGTCTGCGAGTTTGGCCGAATCCGACGCGATTCTTCGAGCGCCTGCTTCGCCGTCTCGCTTCAGGTCCGACAACCGCATGCAAACCGAGCTTCAAGCTGGATCGCCGGCAGATCGCTCCATCGGCTCAGCCGAATCCAAAGCCATGTCTCCGCCGTCGAATTGGCTCGGAATGCGTCGCTCGAGCGAGGTCACGCCAACTCGACCCAGAGTCCGAGACATTCGCAGGAGCAGCGACGGCCGCGGTCCGACATCTTCGGTTCGCCCCTCCGAGGCTGCACACTCGCATTTGGTCAGTCGGCCCTCCACGTCGAAGCACGATCGTCCTGCCGTTCCCGATGCTGGCCAGACAGCGCAGACTAAGGCGCCTTCGGATACTTCCTATGCAGGCCTCCACCGCGACTTTTCAAGCTCCAACACTTTGCGGGCTGATTCTGGGCAGCACGACACACAGCCTCTGCTTGCCTTTGTCGAGCCCTGGGCCCGCACGGATGCGACTAGCGACGCTTCGTCTCGCGCTACTGCAGCGGCCAAGGACGGCTCCGCGACGTTTCTGTACCCCAGACAGGGCGAGAGCATGTCTCGGGGCATCGGCGACTCCGCATCGGCAAGCCGTTCGGTATCCGCGTCCACCGCCCACAGCCACACAAGCGCCGAGTCGCTGTATGGGTACCGCATGAAGAATCAAGCTTCAGCCTCCAGTGGTGCCGATGCACCAGACTCGGAGACCTCGTATGGAACGAGCGTCGGCAGCTCTCCTGGACTCTCGCAGCTCTCATCGTCGGGCTGGCTGTCCCACGCCAAGTACGGCACGGTCTCCTCAGTGGACACCAGGACCACCTCGTGGTCGCAGTCTCATGACCGATACCACTGGTCGCATGGACAGGAAGACGCAGACAACAGCTGCGCTGACAGCAACGTCCAGGCGTCTCCCGGTAGCCTGAACAAGACGCTCGAGGGGACGCCGCCGCGAGCTGCTCGCGGCACGCGCTTGCTTTCGGCTCCTGACACGCCCACCTCGCCTCCGGTGCGTGCCGCGTCGTGGAGCACGGATACCTCTCTGGGCAAATCGGCCGTCGCACCGTCTCATACCTCAACTTCACGCGGTGGACGGCATGTATCAACGGCTCAGGCAGCTTCAAGCGCGGATGAGAGGGCAGCTATTGCGCCAACGGAAAGCGCAGCCTTCCCGTCAGTCGGCTCGAGTCGTCCTCGGCACGCTGCTCGCCGAAACAGCTTGAGCGATCTCAAGATCCCAAGCCGCATCAGCAAGGCGCAGACCGGCATCCGTAACAACATCAACCTTGTTCGCGACTTTGCCAAGGGTATCGAAGAGCTCAAAGCGCTCAAGACGAGCTACCTCGACCGCAGAGAGCATTCGGCCCCGATGGCTCTGGGCGCCGAGGATGGCGTGCAGAATTGGCTCGAATGTGCCGACGTGCTCATCGACTTAGGGCAAGGCAGGTCCGATGCAGATTCCGCTGCCCACGTCGATACTCTCACCCATACTCCGCTTTCGGTGCGCGTCGACAGCCGTCGCACGACGGTTTCGGATGCCTCTAGCTTCCTCGGTCCACGGTCTCCGCTGGAGGATGCAGGCTCGCGCAAATCTTCTATTTCGGGTGCCTCGGGCTATCGGAGCACCAGCGGTGCGAGCCAGACGGCCTTATCGACAGCATCGTCCGCAGACACTGGCCGTAGCGTGGACGCGCAAAGGGAGATCGATATCCTGTCGGCGATCCTGGGCGGAACGAAGATCGCTTCTCCGCCCAGGGTGGAGGCCAGGTCACACGGCCGCTTTAAGTCGGAAACATATGCGCGGAACGGACATGGGCATCCAAACAACCAGAACCCGGGCAAAGCAGTCGCCGCCGTTTCTTCCTCAGATCTCAATACTGGTCGTTCGGAATTGGCACCTCACGACGAGGTTGAGCGGCAACAGCGAGGCTTGAAGAACGACGGCGGCCAGCGGCCAAAGACGCAGACGTTCAACACTGCTCCTGCCAGCAGCGACCCCAACAGCAGCCTCGAGCTGGGTTTGAACCTCGACGGCGTCGATGTCGGCGATGCCAACCGCAGCGCGAAGCGGCGGATCCGGAGTGCCAGCCGCGCTGGCCTGCAAGGTCTTAGGGAACTGCTCAAAGTGTTCAAGAGTGCCGGTCCCGTCGAAGGCGTGTCAACGCCTCCAAGCAAGCTCGAGGCGGTGTCGCTTGCAGACGAGTCGAATGGCCAGCAGTCGATCGATGCGGACGCAGGCACGCCGACGACGACCAAGCAGAAGCGCCGATCGCTGACTCTCAAACGGCGCTCGTTCCTGCGTTCCAAGCCGTCGCTCGAAGTCATCAGAGCCAAGTCGGACGTGGGAGGCGAAGCAGATGCGATGCCGCCCGTGCCGTCGGGAAACGACGGCGCTCTCCTTGGTCGTTCGACGGTGCAAGAACAGTCGCCATCTCGGCGCGACACGCGCAACAATGTCGCATCTTCAACGCCGACGGCGACCGCCGCTTCATCATCGTCGAAAGCTTCGCGGCGTGTGTCGTTGCAATCGTCGTGGAACACGACGCAGCGACGTTCGATTGATGGCGTCCAAATCAGTCAGAGCTCCTCGCGACCAGCATCGGCTTTGCGGCAGAGGAGCGATTCGAAGACCGCGAAGCGAGCAGAAGCAGCAATGGCGGGCCAGGACCGAGGCAGCGCACCGAAGTTGCGTCTTCCCGAGGAGGCAGGACTGGCGGTGGATCCACGACGAGCAAGCACGTCGGTGGACGTTGTATTGCAGCGAACCGAGCAGCCGGTGCGGTCGCAAAGCGCGCTCGAGTCGCCGACGCTGGCGACGCCCATGGTGCCGAAGCTTGCGCTGCGACCCGAGGCGATGCCCGGCCTGCTGGTGTACGTGCAAGCGACCAAACAGCACCTCCAGGCGGCCATCGATCAGCTCGGCCCGCCTATCTCGTCGGATCGGTGATGTATCCCGAAATAGCATCCAATGGCAAGCGTGAGCAGCAGCGATTGTCGCATTTGGCTCTTTTCTGCCAGCTGCATACAGTGCTTCCTGCATTGGAAGTCCGAAGATCCGTTTGACAAACAAAAGAGATTGCTTCAGAAGATTTGCGGTCTTGCATGCCGGTGGGATGTGCGAGACTGGAATGTTGGAATGGAAGTTCTGGATCTGTAGACGCGTGCGGAGTCGCGTAAGGCCAGGCAAGAAAAAAGGGCCCTGCCTTGGGCCTCGTGGGGGTTTCCCACAAGTGACACTCCCACGCTGGGGCCAGAGCCGAGGGGGCTCGCGCAAACGGAGCGTGAACCAGGATGCAGGGTCCGAAATGATTTGGAAGGGCGTTTGTTTGAAAAAGGCGGGGGGTCTGTGCGGGCGCGCGTGCCGATCGCAGCATGCAGTTCCAATATGCTCTCACCTCGAATAGACTGTGACATGTCGTTGCGAAGGATTGCTTTCCGTTCATGTCGGATATGAGGTGTCGTGGAAAGAAGCTATGCATGCGGAAGGGGGATAAGAACATGCAACAGACCAACCTAGGCTCGAGCGGCGGTCAGGCGGGTCGGAAGAGCGACCGATGTTCGAAATGAAATGTCGGTGTCGGAGCTTTGCCTTGATCAGCCAACCCCGAACGCTCGATACGAAGCCAGCTGCGTCGTAGCGATCGTCGAGCGCATCCAGTACCGCGGAGCCACTCATCGTTCAGCCCCTCGCTGCCATCTCTCATGAGAACGGTCCATGCGAAAGCGGGCAGGATCGATGGCCTGATCTAACAGGGTTGGACGGGCGCCAAAGGGGTGTGGGAGCCGGCGATGCGCGACAAGGGTTTGGTGCCTGCGCGTGGCGCTTTGCGGTTCGGCAACCGAGATCCCCGCTACCACGGCGCGAGCCCACCGTGGAGGAGGAAGGAGGCGGCTAGCCGTGGGCGCGTCGGTTACAGCAGCAAAAAGGGCCCCTTGCATGGCTTAAGCGCCTCACACAGTCAGGTGAGACCCACGGGCAGGTGCAATCACCATCGATCGACACCAGCCTCAATCCTCCCGCCTCGAACGTCAAAATGCAGCGTCGACATGGCAGACTGGAGGAACTCGCAGCATGGACCGCTCTCTATGGCGCTGACAGCGCTTCACAACGTTTCGACCATGTCTCGTCCATACAATGGAATGGACACGATAAGGGCCCGAATAGGCAAACCCGACGGCTCGGACAGAGCTCACTCTGAAACCTGGCTTGCTCGTTGGGATTGCCGAAAGTGGCACTTTGCCAATCTGAGCCGAAGCGGTCCGCCATGGGCGTCAAATGCGAATGAAGTCGGCTAGAGCCGCAGCGGAGCAGCGATTGAAAAATTCTCTCACGCGGTTGTCTCCAACCTCTGCAGACGGTGAATTGGCTGCTTGCTAGGCGCTCTTGATGGATCGTCGAGATGAAGCGGACCAGGCTTTTCGGGCCGTGGCTGCAGCCTTGGGCTCGCAATTTGTGTCGGATGCCGTCACTCTGCTGCGTTTAGCGTGTGACAAGACAAGAGCAGCGCGAGCGAGCCGAACCTCCATACCTCGCCAGGGCCTTGCGAGGCGAGGCGGCACGGACGAGTCGGCCGCGTCTGCTCTCCAAGACGCCGTTTCAGCACCAGCCGACGGAGACCGCATCCTGCCACGCTCGCGAGATTCGGCTCGTCTTGCCTCATCTGTGCAAGCGGCTGTCATCTGATTCGGCTCCACGAATGACAGGCCGATGGGGTCCTTGGCGCGCTGGCTCGGTTGAAAAGGGCCTGCTGCGGCGTTGAAAGGGGAAACCACCAAAGGTTGCCTAAGGTCCCGTGCACGCGCCTCGCTTCTCGTCCAAGTCCCCGCAACTGGATCGCTCGCGTTGCGTGCAAATCGCTTCGGGTTGACGCAAGGATGGCCTGTCTCGCCACCAGCAAAGTGCTCGCCACTGCCATTCTGAGGATCTTGACAATGCGGTCAAAGAGCGTCGCCCAAAAGACAGAACAACAATGGGCGGACGAGATTAGGGTGAATCGTGCATACTGGCCATCCTCATCCAAGCTCAGCATGGTTCGTCGAGAGTCGAGCGAGATTCGGAGCCCGGGCGCCACGCAGCCCCTCTTGCGGCTCCAATGCGCGACTGCACGCAGCAGGAGCGGGCTGGGATTGAATGCGGCCAGCCCCACAAGCAACGCTACCGAGCTGTTGGCATGAGCGTTGCCACGCCTCATGCACCCCCATATTTGGACCCTACACAAGCGAGGCACCCATCTGGCAGATGCTGCGGCAGAGCAGCAGAGTCAACACCAGCGAGCGGGCGGGCGG